TTTTGAATGAATAAAATCCATTTGCATCTGAACTTTCAAAAAAATCCAAAAACCTAATGTTCAAATTTAGCTTTGAGATCTACCACAGCATGGAAACTTAGGACTACTACTTATATGGTCAGTGGCCAATTTCCCAACATAGTCTGATGTACCATATCAGTCAAGTGAAGAAAAGAAGTGACTTCTAGACACACAATGAAGGAACCAAGAGGATTTTCTAGATCCCACATTGTTACTGGTCTTGACAGGAAGCAAAAGAAGCATTCACTTCACAGATGGAACTATGACAGTAATAAGTTTAGAATAAAAGAGAAATTTGCTTATTTATTTATTTATTTATTTTTGTGCTGGTCCTGGGCTTGATTTCAGGGCCTGGGCACTGCCCCTAAGCTTTTTTGCTTAAGGCGCACAGCTCCATTTGAGCCACAGTTCCATTTTGACTTTTTAGTGGTTCACTGGAGGTAAGAGTCTCAACAAACTTTCCTGCCATGCTGGCTTTGAACCTCAATCCTCAGATATCAGCCTTCTAAGTAGATATTACAGGCATGAGCCACTGGCACCCTGTAGAAATTTATTTTACTATATAAGTTAGCCATGTAACATACTATCTTATATTGAACTGAATACATTGTCATCTTAAGTCTTGTCTCCCTCTAAATAAAAATTGCTCTACCTATCCTCCTCTACTCCTGTTCCCATCTTCTCTTCCTGAGAAATATATAATTTTAAATTCTCTGAGGCTACTGAAGCAGCTCTAGAATGACAAAAGTAGGTGTGTAATGTGGGCACACACCAGCACTCAGGAGACTGAAATAGGAGGACCAGTATTTAAAATCCAGCTTTTTTGAGACCTTGTCTGAGGGGGGGAGGGGGGGGGAGAAGGATATTACTGCTAATTAAATTCCAGTCTGGGATGACCAACAAGAGGATCCAAATTTGGATCTTGAGACCATTATTACAAAGCCAACTTTAATTTCTGAATCAAGTATGGAATTACTCTAACCTTTTTAATATCCCTCTAATGAAGACAGTTGACACCAGAATAGAGTCAAGATCTACATGGGTTGACATCAGCATCCCTCATGATGTCTGGCAGACTTAAGTCCTTATATATCATAAGCTTAAAGAATAAGCAGACAAAAAAAAAGAATAAGCAGACAGTCATTTTAATGAATTCTAGAACATCTCCTTTGAAAGTAAGCATTTGCTTCTTGCAACAGCCCAATAATCTGGAAGACACAGTTCCTAAGAGCCTGCATGTATCCTGGAACACCCAAGACCATAACAGTAAGAATGCTAGCATTCTAAATAAGGAACATTAGAAGTACCAGGCCACACAGAGCCACCAACATGTACATTCTCTCCTTATAAGAAATAAAATGAAAATGTTTTGTAGCAAGTAAGTGCCTCTAGGATTTATATAATAAAATTCACACCTTTTTCACTGAGGATTTAAGGACATAAAATGAATATATATGAAATCTTATTCAATTCTTTATATCAAACCTTAAATTACAGTTACTCTACCTTAGTTTTCAAAGCTTTCATCAGAATTGGTCTAGCCTATGAGACAGTCCTTATCCCAGTCTATTTCAAGTATCATTAATAGTCTTCCTGGAGCTTGTTATCTTTGACTCAAGCACCTACCTCTCTGGCTCAGCACAGGCTGCCAAGAAAGAAAGGTCTCTAACACAAAGAAGCATCTACATGACCTTGAGGGAGGAGGGAAACTGTTCCCTATATAGGGATTTCTAACATGCCAATCCATAGTTGTTCACATGGCCACAGATAAAACAAAGGTGAGAAAGTTAGCATTATCTAGATAATGCATATCATGCTGCTATGACAGGTGAATATTTTTCAGAATTATTCATTTGTTCCACTCATTGTCCATTCCACACAAGGCAAATCAGTGGTCCCTCTACTTGTGGCTCTAGTCTTATATGTTGTAAATAATCTTTTATTTACTCAACAGTCTTTCAAATCATGGAAAGACACATTGTAACTCTACAAACTAACATCAGAATTCTTGAAGCAATTTTTGTTTTGATTCAAAAAGATGGATTCTCTGACCTGAAGACATGGCTCAAGTATTAGAACACCAACTACGAGGAAAAAAGTTGAGCAAGACCTCAAGGCCCTGAGTTCAAGCCCTAGGACCAGCCAAAAAAACCCAAAAAAACAAAAAACCAACGGGCTAAGGATTTGGAAAGCCATTTAGCCAGTGATTCACATCTACAATCCTAGTTATTCAGAAGACTATCAGTTCAAAGCCAGCCTGGAAAAACACATGCACAATTCACATGCAAAGGCAGTTTTTCTCAAAAGGTTGTTTTGACCTCAAATCAACCTGAGGTTGATGGCTAGAGCAGCTTAATCTTCGACTGAATTTGCCTAGTATTGAGTATACTGATTCAACTTATCCCATTGCCAGCACGGTAAATGTGAAGAAATGCCTCTATTTCACTTACAGCTGGTTATAGAGGGGGAAAAAATTCCACAACCTTCATCTTCTTCCTGTCCTATTTCAAGAGAAAATTGGTAAAAAGTAAAAGACTTTACAACCAGGAGTGAAAATGAAGAGAAAGAAAAGCATCAAGGTATCAGTTTCATGAGAAGGGCTGAGGAGTCTTTACCTGAAATGAGAAGATCTAACATAAATGGCATCAAAGAAAGTGCTCAGGGTGACACTAAAATGTGTATGGGAAGGACCAAATTTAGCTAAGAGACACTTTAAAAGAAACAAGGAGCCATGTGCCAGTGGCACACACCTGTAATCCTAGCTACTCAGGAGGCTGAGATCTGAGGAACCCTGTTTGAAGCCAGCCCAAGCCAAAAAAAAAAAAAAAGGCTCAAAGACACACAGCTAATTAAACAACAAAAATCCCAAAGTAGAGGTGTGACTCAAGTGGTGGAATGCCAGCCTTAAGTGAAAAAGCCAAGTGAGAACAAGTGAGACCCTGCTCGCACAGATCCTCCCCTGCCACACATACACACAAGTTAAAGTTTTATTAAACTTCCAAGTGGTTCTTTCAGCTTCTGTGATATTTTATATTGAGTCCCTTACTCAGTGGGATATAATTCTGTAGTTTAAATCTAACCATACCTATGGCCAACGTGTGTGTGTGCGCGCGCGCGCCTGTACCTAGGCTTGAACTTAGGGACTTTGGCTCTCCTTCAGCCTTTTTGCTCATAACTGACACTCAACCACTTGAACTACTCTTCCAGTCCATTAATTTTGCTTGGGGGGGGGGGTGCTATTTTGCATTTGGGGTTGTTTTTGTTTGTTTTGGGGGGGATATAGGGGCTGTTAACTGGAAATAGAGTCTTGCCAATTTTTTTGTCCAGGCTGGATTTGAATATTGATCCTCAGATTTCAGCTTCCTGATTAGCTAGAATTACAGTTATGACCACCAGTGCCCGGTACTTGCTAACCTTTAAGTAAAGAGTATTCTGAGCCGGGCGCTGGTGGCTCACGCCTGTAATCCTAGCTACTCAGGAGGCTGAGATCTGAGGATCATGGTTCAAAGCCAGCCCGGGCAGGAAAGACTGTGAGACTCCTATCTCCAATAAACCACCAGAAAACCGGAAGTGGTGCTGTAGCTCAAGTGGTAGAGTGCTCGCCTTGAGCTGAAGAGCTGAAGGACAGCGCCCAGGCCCAGAGTTCAAGCCCCAGGACCGACAAAAAAAAAAGAGTATTCTGAGCTTCAGTTTTCTCATCTGTGTAATGGGAATAGCAACATTACTGTTATTAGCTAGATCTACCTCAGAAGATCACAACTAAGAGTCACATGAAGTAAGAAGTATGAAACCATTTTTAAATAGTAAAGCACTCTACAAATATTGGTTCCTTACATGGAACACTGTTATAAACATTTTTAAAAAATAAAAACAGGAGGAAACAAAATGTTTCTTTTACCTGAAAGAGAAGGGATGGTGTAGAGCAATTTTAAACTATTGACAAAATGTATTTAGGGAAATCGTCTGATATAAAATTGAATTATTATTTAGAAGTGAGATTCTCAGAGGAACATATCTACTTTAAACAGAAAGCAAGGAAAAAAAAATAAGAAAAAGTGTGCATTTAGCTCTCAGGTTAAAATAACTTATCGTGTCCTATTAAGGAGAGAGAGTGGAGTTCATGACAGCCAGCATATACAAATATTGTCCCATAAGTAAGAAAAGTAAAGGTTATTGCCAAGCACAGTACTACCAGGTAGCCCACAATCTACTGTGTAGGTGGGGGGGGGGGGGGGGGGAGGTGGTGGTTTTTAAAGAGGGCTTTAGAAAGAAATGGAAAAGCTATTCCTGAAGTATCAGTCAGACAACAGCGATTCAGCTAGTTGGAAGTTCTGAGAGAGGTAGCAATGCTGCCTCCCATAGAGGAGGACACCCACAACAATGAGGTCAAGGGTGTTCTGAGAGGTATAGCCTAGAGAAGACACAAACTATTTTTGAAGCACAACGTATCAGCAAAACAAGACATGGAGTTTCCTTTACCTGGGGATAGGAATTTACTTTTTTAAGTGACCTAAGTTATTCATTCAATAAAGAGGCCACCACACAGACACAGAAAGATTGAATTTTTCGAAAGGACATCAGACAGGGCTAAGGATGTTGCTTAAGGGGTAAAGTGCTTGCCTAGCAAGACTGAAAAAAATGACCACACACACACACACACACACACACACACGGTTGAATGGACGTCATACAAATAATAACAATAATGCATAGAAGTGGTCATAAGGTACAAAAATAAGACACAAGTGAAGATGATTATCTATAGGAATACCAGCGGGAATCCAGTCACCAGTCACTATGACAACCCAAGTAGGTGGAGGGAAATACAAACACTGACCGGGCGTCAAGATGATACTAGGTGGGCAGGGACCCCCGACTTGACCAGCATAGAAAGGTGGCCAGGGGCGAAAGGGAGTTGGCCGCGGAGACCGCGTCCGCGCCGGGGGCTCGGCGGCGCCCGGGGACCGCTCGGCACTGACCTGGTGCAGGGCTGTCAAGCCGTCCACGTTGACGGTGTTGATGTCGGCACCTCTCGCCAGCAGCTTTTTCACCTCGTCGGTGTCCCCGCTGGAGCAGGCGGCCAGGAAGACCGCGCCATCCTCGAAGCGGACCCGCGGACTCCCGCGCCTCGTCTGCGACGGCCGCCCCGCGCCTCGACGCTCCACGGGCTCCTGCTCGGTCAGCGAACCCCGCCAGCGCCTCAGCTGCTCAGCCCGCCGCATTCGCGCCGACTCTGCCCGCTTCCCGCCCAGGTGCTCTAGCTCCGCCATTGCTCGGGCCTCGGCAGCTGCTGCCGAAAGTACCAATAGTGGACTGCTGGAGCGGGTTGGGTGGCCGCTGCCGCCTCCCTCAGAGGGCTTCAGCCAGGAGGAGAAGGCGGAGACCACTGCGCCGCCATCTTTACTCCTCCCGCCACTAGCACCGCCTGCACGCGCTCTTGGCTTCAATACGTCCGCGCTGCCCGATCCTCAAAGCATCACGGGATTTGTAGTGCTACACACTGGACTCAGGGAACTCCCAGGGCCGTTGGGGAACTACATATCCCTGGATGCATAAGAAAAGAGGCGAGGTTAGCCTGCTCCCTCCCCCACTGCAGTCCCGGCGGGGTCACCTTTGCCCTGAAACCGGGCGGCCTGCTGGACTGACCTGGCCTATTTCTCTGGGCATCTTGGGAGTTGTAGTTTATTCTTATTATGACTACTAACTAATCTTAGCTCCCTAATTGTCACACACATTTGAAGTGAAAAAACGGCAGTAATTAATCTTATTTTGTAGTGGGGAGAAGTAGACATGAAGTACTCAAAAGATTCGAATCCATGTCTTGGTTCGAAATCTAGAGTTTTATCAACATGTAGTAATCTCAGTGATGAGAATGTGCCTGGGGAAGAGGCACTTGTACACATACAGTATTTTATTTTACACATATTTTATTTTACACATACAGTATTTTATTTTACCTAAGTATTTTAAACATAACACTTATTCTAGGTTTAGAGAAGATTGAAAATGATGTATCCACGTGTAAAGAGCTTAAGCTTTAAATTCAAACAATTCACATCTGTAGACAGATTATTTGATTTCTCTGAGCCTGCTTCCTTCTTCTCATCTTTTTTCTTTTCTTTTCTTTCTTCTTTTATTTATTTTTTTTTAATTGTGCTATTCCTGGGGCTTGAACTCAAGGCCGGGGTGCCGTCCCTGACGTTTTTGTGCAAGGTTAGTGCTCTATCTCCATTCCACTTCTGGCTTTTTGGTGGTTGAGATGAGAGGCTCATGGTTTTTTCTTCCTGGCCTGGCTTTGAACCACGATCCTCAGATCTCAGCTTCCTGAGTTGGCTATAGTTAGCAGCGCCCAGCTTCCTGCTTCCTTCTTTATGAACTGGGAATAATATGCCCAGCACTGTCTGTTGAGACCAGGAGTGTCTACAATTATATTTTAACCACATAGGCCTGGAAATTCAATCCTTCTATCAGCCTCCCAGACAGGCACATGCCATCTCAACATTCTATTGATTGAGATGGAGTCTCACAAACCTTTTGCTCAAACTGGCCTCCCAACTGAGATCCTCCAGATCACTGCCTGCTAGGTAGATAGAATTACAGGCATGAGCTACTAGCTGCCAGAAAATTCAGACCAGGTTTTGGAGAATGGGGGCAGGTAGTAATGATGTTTGCTAGACAGGTGCTCTATTACTTGAGCCATGCCTCCAGCCCAGGAGACTTTCATATTCAGCATGAACTTGGTTAATAAAACCTGTTTGTTTGGCTGATTTAATAACTATTTCCTCCAAGGCCTTAATATTGGACGACATATAATTGCATATATATTTTCCACCAAAAATGTTTCAAAAATGAATAGGACACAGAAATGGTAGAACAAAGGGTAAACAAATGCAGCAGTGGTACTCACTGGACACTATATTGAAAATAAACTACACAACTTGTGGGTAGAGATGGGAGGTAAAAAATGGGAGAGAGCAAGGGAAGGGATGACATTGTCCAAAAAGAAATGTACTCATTACCTGATGTATGAAAGTGTAACCCATCTGCACATCACTTTTATAATAACAATAACATATTAAATTAAAAAATTAATAGTGCCAGGAAATGGAAGCAGAAGTTTTTTTTTTGTTGTTGGTTGTTTTTGTTTCCTTTTCTCTTTGTATTCTTTGTTCATTTATCTGTTTGGGGGAGGGTAAGGGGGTACAGAAATGGGTGAACAAATGCAGCAGTGGTACTCACTAGACACTATGTTGAAAATGAACTATACAACTTCTTGGTGGAGACAAGGAGGGAAGGGTGACATTGTCCAAAAAGAAATGTATGTTTTACCTGACTTATGTAACTGTAACCCCTCTGTACATCACCTTTATAATAACAATAAATTAAAAATGAATTATACAACTTGTAGGTGGACACTAGAGGGAAAAACTGGGAGACAGTAAGAGAAGTGACACTATCCAAAAAGAAATATATCATTACATCACTGTAACCTCTCTGTACATCAACTGTATAATAAAAAAAATTTAATAGAGTATTGAAAGGGAAACTGTATTATATTATGTAAATATTTCCCTATTCCTCAATTTCCCCTGAAATGAACAGGTAAACCTATGTTGAAGAAATAAGCAAAAAGTGCAGGGCTCCAAATAAATATGTGGATATTAGATATAAATATATACACATATGTGTGTGCATATTCATACTATACATATGTGTATACAATGTACAGATATGTACACATATATATTTATATTTTTACTATTTATATATTTTACTATTACATATTGATCTTGCAGTAAGAATTTTAAAACTAGGCTAGGAAGGTGGCTCAGTGGTAGAGTGCTTGCCTTGTATGCATGAAGCCCTGGGTTTGATTCCTCAGCACCACATAAGCGGAAAAAGTTGGAAGTGGCACTGTGGCTCAAGTGGTAGCACGCTAGCCTTGAGCTGAAGAGCTGAGGGACAGCACCCAGGCCCAGAGTCCAGGCCCCACAACAGACCAAAAAAAAAAAAAAGAATTTTAAAACTGATAAAATTTTCAGGGGCCAATAATATTACATTTCTTTTGGCTATAATCTTTTTGCACTCAGAAACAAAAAATACTTCATTATGGCTGCATAAGCAAGACAAAATTGGCCAAGCTAAAGTTAAATCCTTACCTTTCCAAGAGATATGAGCTTAAATTTCAATGAAAAGGATTCAGTCTCAATAATAGGAGGTTCCAGGAAGCAGGAAAAGTACTGCCTTACTACACTTATTGAATTTGCTTTTTCTACTCACATTGGAGATTTATAAATATATGTAAATGACTAAATTCTTTGGATAACTTAAGTACATACTTCCTGGACCCAGAGAAAAGCATTTTCCAGCTATGTTATCATTAAAACTAGTAAAAATTATTGCAACTTAAAGCCAAAAATTATGCCATAAAGTATTCATCTATCTATGATTTGAAATTTTTTCAAAACTAAACCCATGTAAGTTTCATGTTTATTCTAAAATGTTTTTCTTCACTCAAGGCTAAGAATAAAAATGCCATCAGCTCATTAAACAAATTTGGTAGTCTAAATTTCCTAAATAAATACTTTAAAGAAAATAGCTTATTTACAAATAAGTGAATCCTAAAAAATAATCCTGTATACATATAAAATATAATTTTGGTACTTTTAGATATTCTAAGTCATCTATGGTGTTATTTTATATAAAGTGAAGAGTTTTTTTGTTTGTTTGTTTGGTCAGTCGGGGGGCCTGGGCACTGTCCCTCAGCTCTTTAGCTCAAGGCTAGTCACAGCACCACTTGAACCACAGCACCATTTCCAGCTTTTTTTGCTGATGTGCTGAGGAATCAAATCCAGGGCCTCATGCATGCAAGGCAAGCACTCTACCACTGAGCCACCTTCCCAGCCCCAAAGTGAAGAGATTTTTATAAAACAATTTTCCATCACACTTTATTATAAACCTTAACATTAAAATACTCTATTTTAAAAAGGAATTACTCCAGATGCTGGCTGCTCACACCTGTAATCGTAGCTACTCAGGAGGCTGAGAAATGAGGATTGCAGTGCAAAGCCAGCCTGGGGAGGAAAGTCCATGAGATATTTATCTCCAATAAACTACTCAGAAGAAGCTAGAAGTGGCACCGAAGCTCAAATGGTAGAGTGCTAGCATTCGGGAAAAGAAGCTCAAGGATAAAGTCCAGGACTGGCGCCCACACAAGAAGAAAGCAGTCACACCTATAGACACTTTATGGAAATCTTTCATTTTGGCGACTTTTATTATCAGTTAAAGTAACTCCCCCTAGTGGACAATTACAAATTGTACACTTAGTGTGGGGTCTTTCCCTTGCTTTTTCTTTTATACTGCTTTTTTTATATTTTGCCCAAAGTGCAGATAGTTGATAGTTTTATACCATCACTCCCTTCCACAAAATTCAATACAGTTTGTGCTTTTGCTGAGACATTTTTAATACCCATTTATTAGAACCATGCCGAGAAAGTAATCTTGGATCTGAAGATAGAACTAGTTGAATTATGGTTATGTAAGAAAAGTATAAATACTGAAGGCACTAAATATCAATAAAATTAAGTATCAGAAAATATCAGAAACTAAGTAGAAACTCCAGACATAACAGAAGGAATTTCACTGCAATGAATAAATGCTTAAAATGCAAAACTTTGATACCTGGTAGTAACAGGATTCCTTATATTTTATAACTTCATAACACAAAATTCTCATAATAACTCATTAGCTACTTTAGTTTTTTTCAGTCCTGTAACTAAGTGGGAAACCCCAGAGAACCACAGAACCCTTGTCAATGTGTAAATGTCAATGAAGAGAGAAAACATACTATGAAGTGGTCATAGGGAAAGTTGTCAGGAAACAATCGTTTTTAAACAAGATGAACTAATCACTGCAGTAGCCAAAATAATGTTGATTTGCAAGTTTTGGAAGAGATGATCATTGCTCCTTTGCCACTATTTTTCTAAAGTTACAGAACAAGCTGAGCTATACACAGTGAAAGGTGCCCTGCTTGTTGGATCCAATCCACAGGACTCCCATAACCTAGTCAAGTTTCAGTCGTGTCTTGGATTCTGAGTCATCCTTCATCTCTCAAGGAACAGCAGAGGAAGCTGTGAGAAGTCAAGACTTGCTTACCTATAAGTACTTCAGTATTCAGAAAATATAACACTTCTAAAGTTAGAAGATGGCTTAAAATATCAACCCTGAAAGTGGTAACATTGCTCAACAAGTACTGTATTCATAAACAGATGTTGAATTGAAACAACTTTGTACAACTTCAGGAAGATTTAAGTGCACAGATACATATACATTTTTCAGTTTGGAACTGGACACGTGGATCATGTGGTAAAACAAACAAACGAACGAACAAAAACCACCATTCCTGAACAGAAAAAGTTGA